TGCTAAGAACTACTACTAAAGGCACTTTACAATGGTGTGATTAACATGTCTGACGAAGCAGACTGACTCTGTAGATTTCTGTTTGTAATGGTTTGAAATTTTTTTCCCTTTTTCATGCCTTCTGTGTTGCTACATTGAAGTTAGAAATTTGTCAATTAAATCCATTATAAAGGCTCCCAACAAAGAAAAGCCCAGGACCAGATGGATTCACAGCAGAATTTTACCAAACATTCAAAGAGGAATTGACACTGATTCTTTTCAAACTATTCCAAAAGATTGAAACAGATGCAAATCTCCCAAACTCATTCTATGAAGCAAACATCATCCTGATACCAAAACCAGGTAAAGATATAGCCAAAAAAGAAAACTACAGGCCGATATCCTTTGTGAATATAGATGCAAATATCCTCACTAAAATACTAGCAAACAGAATACAGCAACACATGCATAAAATTATTCACCACGNATACAAGAAGATGGTAAGATATCCCATGCTCTTGGATTGGAAGAATCAACATAGTGAAAATTTCCATACAACCCAAAGTGATATACAAATTCAATGCAATCCCCATCATAATTCCAATGACATTTTTCTCAGAAATGGAAAGAACTATCCAGACATTTATATGGAATAACAAAATACCATGCATAGCCAAAGCAACGCTGAGCAAAAAACATAAAGCTGGAGGCATAACACTACCTGGCTTTAAACTATACTACAAAGCTATAATAACCAAAACAGTATGGTACTGGCATAAAAACAGACACACTGATCAATGGAATAGAATAGAGAATCCAGAAATCAACCCACACACCTACAGCCATCTGATCTTTGACAAAGGCACCAAACCTATACACTAGGGAAGAGACTGCCTCTTTAGCAAATTGTGCTGGGAGAACTGGATATCCATATGCAGGAGAAGGAAACTAGACACATACCTTTCACCATACACTAAAGTCAACTCAAAATGGATTAAAGAATTAAATATACACCCTGAAACAATAAAGTTCTTAAAGAAAACATAGGAGAAACGCTTTAGGAAATAAGACTGGACACAGACTTCATGAATATGACCCCAAAAGCATGGGCAACAAAGGGAAAAATAAAAAGTTAAAATTGTATAGAAAGATATGCGTAGAG